CACGAAGGTACCCTCATTCAATCTACAATTGAAAGTGAATCAGAAATCAATTTAATGTACATTAAAATTGATGAATCACTTTTTAACTCTTTTGACACCTAGAAAAAGTGACGCTTAAAAAAGGTGTGCCTCTGCTTCTAATATCGGACAGGTACTGATAATCATCAAGCACTAATAATTGCGAAAAATGTTATGCATCCCGATAAATGCAAAGATAAAGATAACAATGAATGATAACAATAAAAAAGGGGAAAGGGTTTGTAACGTTGTTGTACCGTAAGACATCCATGTTTGGCAGCTCTCGTCTGGCTGTGGAGAGCTGCTGCATTGACTCCTGATGGACGGCTCGAATGTTGTGTCCAACACACACGGTGTACTGCAGCGGCATGCGCTCCATACTGGGCGGCGTCTGCAAACAGAACTGCTGTCTGCTCTCCATTCCTACGTGAAGCGGGATGTTCGGGGCCACTAGAACTGACACACCTTTGGGGAAAAAAAACAAAACAAAACACAACAACATTGGGTTACTAATGGTCAGGTTTGCAAATTTTAAATCCCCAGATAAATCAAGACTGAAGTTTTGTGGCTTTTAGTCCATGTCTGCTAACTGTGAGGTCGTTTATAGGCTAGTGTACACCTAAAAGTTGACAAAAATAACTTTTAGCAGATATATGGCCAAATTAGCATGAGAGCACAATCCCATAAAAGCATAAATGGGAGTGGAAAGTTCTGCAGTTGATCTACTGACAATTAATTAATCAAATTAAGGGGACAGTTCACGCAGAAATGATAATTACCCCATCAACCTCACTCACCATAAAGCCATCATTGACTTTCTTCTTTCAGACAAATACAATCGTAGTTTTAAAAAATGTCTTGGTTATTCCAAGCTTTAAGATGGCAGAATTTGTAATGCTTTTATAATGGTACGAATATGTGTACCGTTACACCCCTTGTCAAAATTTTTTATTTTTGTAATTTATTCATTGATTCAAAGCTGAATTTTCAGCATTATTATGCTAGTATTCTGTATCACACGATCCTTCAGAAATCATTCTAATATGCTGATGGTTCTTTTATGAATAGAAAGTTTAAAAGAACAGCATCCATTTAAAATCAGATTTACTATCAGCTTGCACCAGTGCAAACCCTCATTTGGCTTAAAAAACTACTGTCAGGTAAAAAAAAAAAAGTAATTTTTGCGACTCACCTTACTGAATATGCATTTGTAGGAGTTTCCCTTTCGATTGGTAAATTTATGGGAGGAGAGTATTTAAATGAATCACGCAATGCGATTTACTAAGATTTGCACTCGTCAATTCACTGGTATTTGCGGCATTATTTAACACCCCAAAAAAGCATGTCTTAAAGCACTCTAACGCTAATTTGCCCTGTTTAGTAAATTTGGCCCTAAATGTCTTTAATGTCACTTTTGATCAATTTAATGCAGCCTTGCTGAATAAGAGTATTCGTTTCATTTAAAAAGAAAAAAAAAACCTTTGAATGGTAGCGCATGTCTTCCTGTTTCAATAGGAAATACGAAATAGCTGTAATCGGAAATAACATGGTGAACAGTTCAGTCAATGAAGCTGACACTGCTGAGCCGTCAGGTGATTTCAGATCACACGTTAACTCCTGTAACTGCATTCGTGACTCTGTGTGAATGGCAGACACAGCATGAATGAAACCAAATACCATCTTTCGACCTGCCCCAGTAAAGCAGCCTTTACAGCCTGATGTACTGTATCATGGAAATTCCAAGACTGGGACGTTTGGAACAGGAAACACTGGGATTTATAATTGAATCTTTAAATTTTCAAAGCTTCTTCAGAAGGTGGGTGGTATATGAGGGCTGCTTCTGATGTCTTTCTGCACCTGAAAAGTTGAGATTATGTGGAGCAGATAATGGTGTGCGCAGATGTAGCTGCCCTCCCTGGAATTCCTCCTGCTTCTCGGATTTCACCACCATGTCAATGTACCCCAGTGTAGACGCACACAGCACCGTCCGTCTGAATGCCCCTCATCTCACCCAAACTCACACCACGACTTTAAAATTAGATTTTAAAATGAAACAATACATCTTTGGAAAAGTTTTCCAGCAATGAGCAGTGCATCGTTTCAGAAGTTAGGTCATTTTTTATTATTCAGATATGATGTAGTTCAAAAGAAATATGCTGATAATCAGTTTGATTTTGTCATTTTTACTGATATTCACCTTTTTTCAACTGTCTTTAAACTCAACGATAATTGCCACTGTTTCGTGGTTCTCTGTAGAACAGCACCAGCAATGATGACATTAAAGGGATAGTTCACCCAAAAAATTTTATTTAACCTTAAACCACATGAACACATTTCATTACACCAAATACACAGAATAATGTTATTTTTTAGCAATGTCATATGACCCCTTTAATTACTCACCCTCATGTCGTTCCAAACCCTTAAGACCTTACATATAAAGATATATATAGGTTCCTGTGGCTCAGTGGTAGAGCATTGTGTTAGCAGCACAAAAGGTTGTGGGTTCGATTCCCAGGGAACACACATACTGGTAAAAAATGTATAGCCTGAATGCAGTGTAAGTCGCTTTGGATAAAAGCGTCTTCTAAATGCATAAATTATTATTAAATTCAGATATTTTTGATGAAATCCGAGAGCTTTCTGACACTGCATAGACAGCTGCGTAGCTGACACGTTCAAAACCCAGAAACGTAGTAAGGACATAGTTAAAATAGTCCATGTGACATCAGTGGTTCAACCATAATTTTATGAAGCTACAAAGAAAACAAAAATAATGACTTTATTCAACAATTTCTTCTCTTCTGTGTCAGTCTTCAATACGCATTCATGAGAGTACCACGACGCATGTGTGGCACTATTTTAACAATGTCCTTACTACCTTTCTGGGTCTTGAACGTAGTAGTTGCGTTGCTGTCTATGGAGGGTCAGAAAGCTCGGATTTCATCAAAATGATCTTAATTTGTGTTCTCAAGATGAACGGAGGTCTTACAGGTTTGGAACGACATGAGGGTGAGTAATTAATGACAGAATTTTCATTTATGGGTGAACTATCCCTTTAACCCTGTAAAAATGACATACGAAATAACAAACCAAAAACTGGCAGTTTGGTGAAGCTTTAGCCAGAATATTACAAAAGAAGCTTGCATTTGTTTTTGTTGAGTATCAAATTTGATACATCAGGATTTTATGGCTCATATAGCATGATATAGTGAGAATATGGAGGTCAAACTTGAGGGGAAAAAAACAGAGGTCCAAACTGAGCAAAAATGCTATTTGGTGCAGATGCTGATATTTATAGGGCCAAAAAGTAAGATGAAATTCTGATAGCTTGTACTTCAATGAGATCTTTCAGAATAGCAGATGCTTACATAAAATGCATAGAAATATCAGTTGTCACTCTATATCTCCCAACATGGCTTAGTAAGATTGTATTTAAATGCTCAGTTTTATGATCAAAGCTCTATAGTTTTAAAACATTTAATTCAATGCAATACATTGATGATTGAGAGATGAACAAATAAATGTTCCTCAAAAAGCCTGATGGATCATATTTGATACTCACATTTTAACATGATTTTCATCAAAAATTTATGTACGTATAATCAAGTAAACCTTACTTCAAAGTTGCTTCAATCCAATAAGTGTTCATCTTGAAATATTACACAATATAAAAGGTCTTCCATTTACTTTCAGCAAGAATTTACAGCACAAAGACAAAACATGACCTGAGGGGGGATGTTTTTACAGTTACAGTATATTAAAAGGTCTTTTACTCGCTAGAAACAGTATAAACTATCATTCATATGACAGAAGGCATGTAGTAGATTGTGTACAAGTTTTTCAGCAAGGTTTTGATCATGTTGACAAACTAGATGCCTCAGCTTAACAGTTAGACATAGCATGTAAAATTGTGCATTATGTAAAACACATTTTTGACCATTTAGATTCCAAAACAAATTTGCATGTATAAAAATTTGGTATACATTTGTAATTATTGTGGGGGATTCTGCATAACATTAGAAAAATATGTTTTTGCTGTGGACTTACTGTGAACAGACACTGTCAACTCATAACCTATAAACCTTCTGCTCTCCCAGACTGGGTATAACTAACCCTTATCTAACATGCCACCCCACACACATGCCAAAATATTAAATTATCTAACAATAAACATTATATGAACCAAAATTAAGTAGTCAAAGTTTCTTAAAAAGAAAAATGCTAGAATAGATTTTAGGCTTGCCAAAATCAGCTGTCACTCAGTACAGAGAACCTAGTTTGGGAATGAATGCAAGTTTGTAGATGTCGGTAAACTTATATTTATCAAAAATTAAGGAAAATAAAAAAATGTTTGTTTGATGACTTGATGAATGCAGTCGACAAAACAATGAAATGTTGTTCTCGTTGTCTCGTTAGTTTCCTTTTCCCTTTTATTTTGAGAAACTTCTCTTAAATAAGATAGATTATTTGGCAAACTTCACCATTTCCCTCGATTTATCACTGCAGATTAGACTTGGAGAGAAATTAAGGCTGCTGTCGTGGCTAGCGTTTATAAATAATAGTGTGTAAGGGTGTAACATCTACTAAATATCGCACCTGCTGTAGACTCTGCCAAGTGAAGGAAACAAGCCAAACTGTTAACCATAAGATTATGCATATGTTTTACATATGCATATGTAGGACCAGTTCATGCCAAAAATAAAAATTCTGTCATGGCGTTCCAAACCTGTATGACTTTCTTTCTACCGTGGAACACAAACTAATTAAAAAAAAAAATCAGTGTTTTGTTTTTCCTTACAATGAAAATCAGAGGAGTCTAATGTTGATTTGGACCCCATTGACTTTCATTGAATGGACAAAAACAGTAGAAAAACTCGGAATGACATGAGGGTGAGTAATGATAACAGAATTATCATGACTATCACTTTAAGTAGAAAAATGAGAGTATCAGTTTAACTAATCCCATCCAAACATACAAAAAATTTATTTGAATGCGCAAATAGGAGAGAATTCACAACTCTGACTAGCCAATTGGAAGACAAAGTAACGACTGAAACCTCTTAGAACTACTGTTCAGTTGTTTTCAATTGTTTTCTCCTTTGCGTATTTTTCCTTGTATCAAGTTATACGGTACTCTGTTGTTATTTATATGAAATAGCACTAAGCATTTCTGCAAATCATGCATTTATTGTTCGAAAATTGTTCCACTCTCTGCTCTCATCCAGTCCATATTAGGCGAAAAAAGTGAGATGGGATGCTGTTATTCATCTTTGCTTTAAAGACAGAGTGGAAAATATTTCAGGAAAGCTGGTAGTAGTTACCGTGGGGAATTATTCTAAAAATAATAGACGGCTCACCCTCTTTTTCAGCTTCTGTAGAGCGTCCACCTTGCTCATAACTCAAGCCGAAAGTCTCTTAAACGTCAGCAAATGACAGTTATTTATTCGCCTCTGTGCAGAACC